ATATATATATATATATACTATACCCAAATTAATACAAAATAATGGAAAAAGTATAAAAAATATGTTAAACAAAAATTGGCGGTATATGGCTTTTTCATTATGAGAGAATGCATTAAAAGTTTATAGCCTGATTTTGAAGCTAGAGTCTTTTATTAATAGATTTTTCTTTTGTTGTGTTTTAATTCTTTCTTCGAATTATAAGAACAATGGATCTAGAAGTTTTTCTGGAAATTATTACTTTTCCCTTTTTATTTATTGATTTTCGATGAACTTTTACCATTATTATTTTTATTTCTTGAAGCTAGTATTTTAATGTTTTACATTAGCAAGTATATTTTTCTGAAAAACTATTTGATGTTTTAACTACTGATAACAATGAAAATTCATGAAAGATTTCGTTACTTGGCATATTTTTGTGTAATAATAAATCTACACACAGATTTTAAAAATGAGATCACTTTCACGATTGTGCAAATTTGTTAAAATACTAAAGCACACGAAATGAGAAGGCTGAGAATGTTTTTCTTAGTTCTCTTTGGTAAGTATTTAAATTGTTTATAGTTTAAAAATTATAAAATTATTTGATTCAGTTCCCTTGTTGCAAGTGGACTAGAGCCGCGGTTGCTAATGGGATAGAGCTCTCGCCTCTCATTGAGGTTCCGAAGCTCGAGTACCAGTGATGGCTGGTCGATTTGAATTTCCCTTTTTGCTCACCCTGACTACAGTGTTGATACGGTGATACGGTGATACATCATTGGTGATACGGTGATAGATGGGTCATGAGATAGAATCTACTTGCTGTCAGACTAACCACTCAAAGTTATCGTTGAATTGATTTAATTTGTATTGCATTGTCATCAGAAACAGAGCTCTAAGATTTGAAACTCAAATTAGGTGTAAGTTTGATTGACGAGAAACTCATCATGGCGATAAATAACCATGATGAGAGTGAAAAAAACATTTGATGATAGTGGACATGAATTTAATTGAGAAATGCATTGTCATCAAGCAACGAACTTCAATCGTTTCCGCGAATTTTGAAAATGGCTCGTAAAATCGATTTAAAAAGGTTTCGTATAACTGATTTAAATTTGAATTGTATTATGATCACAGAGCGAACTCTGTTGAAGATTTCAAAACTCTAGTTAGGCTGAAGTTTTAATTAACGAGAAACTTATTGCTTCGATAATATGGGGATAAATTTTGATGATAGTGGTCAGGAATTCGATTGAGACTTGATTTGTTATCAAGCAACCAGCTACAATTGAAAATGGTTGAGAGTTTAATTGTAAAATTCCATCCTCACACATAATACCTAATTAATAAAAATGTTGTTAAAATCAGCGTGTATTTAAAATTTTCATTATTGACTTTTTTCTTCTGTTAACCTTTCGCTGGTACAGTATACAAGGTACAGGCTGGTACAATATGTGAACCGCATGTAATGGTACAAATAGTATACCGCAAGCAAAGGGTTAAATGAGATGCTTCTATCTATTCAGTTAGAAAGCTGTATATTGGAGTGTTGCAGGACTCATACCAATTTCAATAATTATCAATAGAAATACAAAAGAAGACTTATCGTAGAGATACAATTTTGGCACAAAACAGAATAGTTTTGTTTATTTTATTAAGCATAATTTTAACGGATTTCAATATTTTTTAATTAAAACGTTTTTTCTATAATTTAAAAAAAATTAGAATTCTCTAAAAATGCTAGTTTAGATGCTTTTTTTCCCTTAAGCTTTTAATAGTGTGATAAATTAATGCAATACCTTTTTTTTTATATTTACCTTTTTTCATTATTATTTTGATATCTCTGTGATAAGGAACATTATGTTTTAATTGCTGTTGCCTTAAAACGATTCCACTTAATTTGAATTACATCAAATTTTCTGCAATTTTAATGAGATGTTAAATTGACCATCGTTTCCTTTCAAGTTTAACCATAGTTATGGTTGAACTTGGTATCTTATTAAGGTTCCGGCAAATTTGTGCGATATTTTGGTTCCAAGTGTTCCAAAATTTCCGGAGTGTGCGGAATGTTGGTGATTTCCATACACTCCTAGAGATTTTGAAAATTTAGCGCAAGGAAAGTATCTATTATCGAAGCAGGGTACGAGAACACACTTCAATTAGAACTTAAGCGTCATACAGACCTTTTTCAAGAAAAATATGAGTTCTAAATTAAAGAAAAATCTGAGAACAAGAGTATGGAAAAGGCCCTTAAGGAGAATGGGCTAGTTTTGTACACGATACAAAATCAGTGGATCATGTTTCGAATCGTGTCAAGTTCTAAAATTTAAACTATCGTCTGATCTCGAACGTTTTCCTTAGTTTTTAACTGACAACATAATGCTTTATATATGTTAATAATATTTTTTTACTAATATTTCAAATAGGAAAGAGAGTAGTAAGAAACACAAGCTGCAATAAAGCAGATCAAAATCTGAACTTATAATAATATTCGATTCATCATTTTCAGAGACTTAGGGAATATTTCTTTCATGAATTTATTTGGACCTGATTCGACCAATATGCCTAAATTCATCGATCTGATTCTCAATTTCCAAGATATATATTTTACATGAATTTTCTTTTCGATGAAAAAGTTGCAAGAGAAAAATGCAGTTGGCATAAGTATTTGAAAATATTAAGTAAAAGATAGTTTTTTAAACGCGTTACTTATATCTGAACTATTTGCTTACTAAAAAGAGAAAGGAGGGAACGTGTCCATAATCTTAAGATTAAAACCGATTAAATATTTTAACAGCTTTAACGTTTTGGAGCCGCTCCACTGGCCTGTTGAATAACTCGTCTAATTGATTACTGTTTGTATTCTCTGTTTAAGTTTTGAGTTACTATTTTTTGTATGGTGTTTTGATTTTAATACAAACACTTTTTTTTGTAATTTCAGCTTTAATTCAGCAGCATTCTGTTGAAAGTTTTCCTCCAGATATCCAAAATATAGACGAAACAGATAATAGTCCACGGTATAACATCTTGAAAAATTTAAATGAAGAAGTTGAGGTAAAAGCAAACTCTTTAAAAGAAGGAAACCATTCCAAATTCTCATATTTATCAAAAGATTCAAACAACACGGAGAATTTTAAAGAAAATTATAATGAGTTTAAGGATAAATCTACGATTGATGACGTAACAGGACAAGAATCAACCTATTTACTTCGAAAATCGAATTTTTCAACCACCCCTGAACCAGACATGGAAACGAACTCAACTGTAACTGAAAATTATAACAGTGATGATGGCATCTCTGATGAATTAACTGATAATCAAATGACAGCGTTAAGTGTTCATATAGATAGTTGGTTTGGTGATGAGGTAAATGATGTGATAATTCACGATAATGGGACTTCATTTACAGTTATGCCAAGTACAGTATTTGTAACAGAGGAAATACCAGAACTGGGTAGCTATGTTTCAATCTTGTTTAATTCTATATTTATTAGAATCCTGTTCTTCCAAGGTTCTAAGTTTTTTTTGTGTGAATAATATGCTATGATTTAATCTATTATGATACCGTAAAGTAAATCATGATCAGTAGGTTACATTAGGTTTATTTTTAGACTGTTCCCTCTTTCCTTAATATGAAAATGGTACGAAATGCTTGTAAAAAAAGCCACAGTTTCGTGAAAATGAAAAGCATCTGTGATCTTGATTTTTATTGTTTGAAAAGCTCTTTTAACATAACTTGAAAAGTTATTCTAACTTTGATTGTTCGGGTTAAAACAAATATACAAAAATTGTAAATTATTCATTGATTTTAATAACTTTCATTTACTCGGAAAAATTGACGAATTGGCGATCTTTTTCTTTCTTCAAAAAAGTTGAATATTATTTTTGAATATATAAGATAACCTTTGTCAAAACCTTTGTCATAATACCTTTGTCAAAAAACTTTTGTCAAAGCTTAGATAATTCCTTCCAGTATATATAGTTTGAGCCGCGATGGCGTAGGGGATAGAGCTTTCGCCTTCCAACGAGGTGAACCGGGTTCGAATCCCAGTGATGGCTGGTCGATACGAATTCCGCATCCAGCTTGCATCGACCACAGTGCTGACGCTAATATCCTCAGTGGTAGACGGAATTTGGGTAAGGGCATTGTCTAGTAAACATAGGTGGAAGGATACACCAGAATTTTCAATATCTGATTCCGGTTTTAAAACTTGCTTTTGTTTAAGCCATGGCGTACTAATATTTGAGTATATATATATATATATATATATATACCGATGCTTTTTTCTAAGTTAAAGGTGAAATCTATCGAACAACTTCAAAACAATAATTTCTAAAATTTACTTAATTTGCACTTATTTATATCTAAGAGGAACAGTTTTACATTACTGAAACTTCTTTAATTCACAAAATGAATGGTGGATAAATTTTCGAATATGAATGAAAAAAAGGATTTTTTCGAACTACTCTTTCCAAACTTAATATTTTACTTTAATTTTATAAAATATTAACTTAATATTTCTACAAATATAATACTGATAATATAACAGATTTTTTTAGTAACTATTAAACTGTTTTTTATTATTAAGAAATAAAAAAAATATATTTTTGCTTGTGAAAATGCAAAAAGTACATAAAGAGAAATACACAAAATACATAAAGTGAAAAAGTGCATAAAGGGGAAATCGTTGTCCCATCTATTTCAAAGGGTTAAGTAATAAAGAAATTAATAAACAAACATAAATTTTACAACCAAATTGTTCATTTGGTTTTACAGCATTGAAAATCGTTTCAAAAATTCCTTTTTAATTATTTCTGATCTCTAAAATTTGAAAATAATTTTTTCTTAGAAAACGATAATGATGCCAGTATCATACCAAATTCTTTTGAGAATGAGAGTTATAATTCTGGTTCAGTAGTAAGTGATGTAGGTTCTATGAAACTTGAAAAAAGAAGCACAAATAAAAGGTCCTTGAGAAAAAAACGCCCCAAAAGAGATGAGGAAAGCCCAATTGATGAAAAAAAATGTCGAGTTCCAAGGTTCATGAAATATTCACATCTGGATTGCACAATTTATTCATCTGAAGTGTAAGTAAGCATTTCCATATTTATTTACAAAGTAAATGTTTAAAAATGTTAAGATTCTCTATTTACTCTCGTTTATACTTTATTTTTATTATTATTTTCTTTACTCTATATTACTCTCTTTCAGTCAAAATCACATTTATTACGTTTCGATATTTTGTTTTTTCTTCACTTAAATGTTAATTTGCGACTCTCATCCTTATTTGGGTTTAATTTTTAGAATGATTTAAAAAATATGAAATAAGGATAGTCATTACAGAACACCCTGTGTTTCTGAAAGTTAATTTGAAACTCATTACTTGGAGGTAAAAACATAAAACCACCATTAAATAAATAATCCCAAGAAACTGAAGTCATAAGACATTACTCGATTGAAAAACTTCATTAGCACCAAAAATATACAGATTGGATATTACAGTTGACATGTTTCAAGCGCTCGAAAATTGGCATCCATTTTCAAGACTTGTCAGACGTGAATGAGAAGAAATAAAAGTGATTTGAATTATAAAATGAAAAGTTGCCAACAAAAAATGGTAAATAAAGGTGAGAAACAAAACTAAAAAAAAACCAGTAACCGTCTTATATTTCAAATGACTTTTGTTTACTTTCATTCACGTTTGGCAAGCCTTGAAAATGGGGGCCTATTTTTGAGTTTTTGAGCATGTCGACTTATATATCCAATCTGTATATTTTTGAAGTGAATGAAGTTTTTAATCAAGCAAAAAAAAAGTAACTATACCATATTGGAAAAAATATTAGCGTGGATTTTATATATGTGGCATTTTTGATGCCTAACAAAAGAGTATTTTTTGTTATGAAATTTGAGAGTCTGTTGGCTTAGATGTTTGTGCTTTTAAAAAAAACATACGATTAAATCCATACATCCTGCATAACATTATAAGAATTTGTCAAACGCTTATTTTTATTTATAAATTTTTAATGCAAAGCAATCCTAGTCAAACTACAATTGTAATCTAAAGTCAATTTGTCCTTTTACAATACGAAAAATAACTCCAGAACAATTTTTGAACTTTTGAAGATTTTCAAACTTTCAGAAGGTGAGTAATATTTTATGGTGTCCGCTCAGTTACGAAATTTTTAAAGTTAATTAGAGAAGCTTCACTTATTGTTTGTAATTTGCCATAATGTAAAGTGATTCTGGGAATCATTCTTGATATATGACGTCGTAAGTATTTAAATTTTACTTGTGGTAGTAAAAAAATGAATTATGTAAAATTCTCTACTTCGGTTACTTGTCGGGTCTGTTATTTGTTTTTGTCCCGGTCTGTTACCTGTTAATCGTTTTTAAGAGGATACTTTAATGACTTATAAGATCCTTACAAGTCTAAATTTTAAATCAATGTTGATGCTAACTGTTAAAGCATGTGCAAGGCATATACAAGTATCAATTTCAATTAATAATTTTATTTTGAACTGATTTCAGATTCAAAAATGCTTCAAATATAAAATTCACCCATTAGTAGTGAAGTATTTTTATTTTATTTTTAGAAAATGTAATCAAACATGTGTATATGGATACGTGTTCAATAACCATCCTGCAAGAAACAGAATGCAGAAATGCAACAGAAAAAAGGGGAAATGGTCTCCTTCTAGATCATTCTCTGATTGTGTGCGTAAGTAACAGTTTGAATTCCAAATTGCAAATAATAGTTTGATCTTCTTTTTAGTTTCATCAAGTACTGAAAAGAAAGATGATACAGATACTAGAAGTGCTTTTCAATTTAGTGTTACAATAGAACTAGTTTAAAAGCAATATTGCTGTTCTGTGATTGATGCAGTTCAGAATTCCATAAAGTATTAAAAAAAAAACCTTATTAAGAGATACCCTGCATTGTTTTAAAAATGTCAGAAATTGGATGTCTGCCAATTATTCGAGTTTTAATTGTCGATTTAATTTTACGACCAATTGGACAGTGAAAAAATATCACTACAATATAGTTTAAGCAAAAGTGCTAGTATTAGTTTATTTGTCGTATTTTTCGTCAATTTCAGGGCTCTAGAGATCTGAGTTTTGGAAATCTAAAATAGGTTAAATATATTAAATTTGTAGAATTTTAAAATTGTACCAAAATTTCAAACAAGTGCAACATACTGAGCCCTAATATCTTAAAAACAGTATCATATAACTTACCAAAGATGATAAAAAAATATATGATCTCACGACTCAATACACAATTTGTATGTCAAGTCACCCCACAATAAAATTTTTTTGTTTTTTCTATCTAAAATAAAAACAAGGAGTAAAAGTAAAGAGTTAAAAAACATAGAGATGTCTAAGTCAGAGGCTGAACTAGATCAGTATTTCCTTTTCATTCAATCAATTTCCGTTTGCCAGATTCTTATTGGATGATTCATATTTCGATTCCAATATCGAAAGGCATTCTTATTCGGTAAATCTAACTGATTGATCATTGACGGATCTTTTACCATTTTTATTAAAATCCGTGTAAATATTAATTTTAATAATTTGTCTGAATGATTTTATTGAATTAATATCAATTGGATCAAAAATTATATTCAATTTTTACGAGTTTCTTTTGTTACTTATTGTAGCTGGATACAACTGCAACGTCGAGCTGAAGCCTGGTGGTAAAAAATATTGCAAATATAATTCTATGAAACATCGGCCATGGTGTAAGATAGCTTGTTCATCAAGTCAAAATGTTAAAAAGCAACAAAAGTATAAATGTTCACGAAACAGAAAGACCGGCAAACCAGAGTGGAAGCCAGCATTGCCATGGTGCGCAAAACCTGAAACAGGTAACCAAAGTTGGAATATTGCTATTATTCTGAGAGACTTTGTCTCATAATACTAGCTATTTTGTTTTGTTTATCTTATATGTTTGCGACCAAATCTGATGCCTGTAAATACTGGTATTTGCTGTAGAAATAGAAAATAAGTAGTAATGCTCAACTCAAATAGTCTAGTGGTGCAGATTCTAAATAATTAATAAAAAAAGTCCAAGACAGAGGCTTAACATGATCGAAGTTCTAGTATCATTCAATTAATTTCTGTTTGCACTATTCCTATAGGATGATTCGTATTCCTATCCCAATAGAAACATATTCCTATTGGTTGATTCTGTAATTGATTGAGCTTTGATGGATTTCCAGTGTAACAGGTAAGTGAAGTGATTTCAAGCTCAGACATCCCCATGGCTGAATTACACCTGCTGATGTCCGAGTCAACCTGGTAGTAATAAGGTTATTTAGAGTTACATGGAAAATAAAGTACACAATTATTTTTTGATTAAGAAATCAATGAACCTGGCAGAGATAACAGTTTTATTTTATAGTCTAAGAGACATCTTTACAAAATGAAAGACATTTTATTATTTTTATATTTTGTAAGCGCTTTCTTTGTTGCAACAAATTAAATTTTATGACACTGGTAATGAATGAACCATACAAGTATTTTATTTTTTTCACTAACTTCTTTTGAGTGTTTAGAATATGAAGAATTTCTATGTAAACTTTTAAAAATTTACTGAAGATTAAAACAATTATGGAACATTTTCACTTCTTGTTTTTTTCCCTCAGAAGAAAACATCAATACTTATTAACATATACCACATGTGTAAGAATAACACCAAGCAGTTTAACTTTCCCCGACATTATATTGTATGCGTCAAAATTCAGCGTAGAGTTCTAGAATTCTTTAATTTATGCATTGCAAGGTAATATTCACTGTGATTATAGTATTGAAATTAGATAACTCTACTATAGGAAAAATGGAAAAATAAACTTTTAGTTTAGTTTTATAGTTAAAATGAAAGAAAGGCCATCATGTATTGAGCCTTCACACACGATAATCCACGATAAACCACGGGAAAGATAAATACAAAACACGTTAAAAACAAGAAAAAATACAAAGTTACTAGTGAAAAAATGAAAAAGAAAATAATAGAAATCCGTCACTCAAATCCGCTATATCAGTAATATAATCAAATCTGTTGTATTTCATAAGATAGTAATTCTGGTGAGTTTGAAGTGAAAATTTCCTTTAGTTATTTATAGATGTATTGTTAAAAAAAGTTGTCGGCCTGGTTGGAAGCATGCTGAACTCGTGTTCGTGAGAACGGGAGTTCGAATCCAGCCTATCGAGTGACTCATGCACGTTAAATCTGTTGGGGTCACAAAGCCTGATTTAGGTGAAAATTATGATCTATAGATGGATTAAAGGTGCGTGAATGCGTCCTCCCTATAAAACTGGTTGGGACGTATGAGTGTGGCAAAATAGTATTCTTTGCCATAGATGGCTCCACTGAAAAACAAGAAGCACACCCTCTGACTTAAATAGTTCGATTTCAAGCAGACTTTTTGATGCTCGCAATTAGCATATGTAACAACAACAGAAACAATAACTAAAACAATTGGGATGTTTTTTAATGCCCATGTATTTATTTAAACAAACATTTGAATAGTTACATTTTGTGTCAAATTGAGTTCTAAATTTTTTTCCCCAATATAATCAATATGAAGTATAAAAATGAAAAAAAGCTGGGGAATTAAACAAACTGAGAACTGTAATGTGAGCCAAGCTAACTCAGATCGCGAAGTCATCTGAAATTAACTCCGTGAGCAAGTTTCAATGGTTGGTAGGTGGTTCTTAGCAGACACACAGAGCTCGCTATTGTTTTCATTAAACAACATTTTTTAATTCCGAGTCAAATTCCGAGTCAAGAAAATTGAAATCACAAACAAATTTATTAACTTGGTTTTATTTGACAATTAGAATATTAAAAACCTGTTGTGACACATATATCGGAGAATTCTTTTTGAAATTTTGTTTCGGTGAAAACCTTTTAGCTACTAGAGGTCGCTTATCAACAATAAATAAATAATATTTTTACCTTAAAGTTTAATAGATAGCTAAATATGTAACTGATAAGCATTTATACTTATGTTGCCAAACCTATGTTTCTAGGGACCTGAAGGAGAAGTTTATTCTTTAGTCTAGAAAATGGAAAAGCATACTAGAATTACGAAGAAAGGATTCAATCAAAAACTTTTTGTATAAACTTTTTTGTAACAATTATTAAAAAAATTATCAAGCAATAGCTTGTAATCGAATAATAAAAATCCATAAAATGCTTTTGTTGTTCTTTTTTGTTTACATTGGCAACTTCTAAATATTACGTAGAACAGTGAAGCAAATCTTTATCTCTAAACCCTTTTTATGGTATGATGTAACAGTATCACGCCTCTATCTCTAAAACCTCTTTATCGCATGATGTAACAGTATCACATCTTTGTCTCTAAACCCTCTTTACCGTATGATGTAACAGTATCACGCCTTTATCTCTAAACCCTCTTTATCGTATGATGTAATAGTATCACGTCTATATCTCTAAACCCTCTTTATCGTAAAATGTAACAATATCAGATCTCTGTAACTGTATCTGCCTCTAAATTCTCTTCATCGTATGATGCAAAAGTATCACGTATCTGTCTCTAAAGCATATATGTTGCATGAAGAAACGCGTCTTGTTTTCTAAATCATACATGTAGGAAATCTTTGTCGAATATCTTTAAATGAATATTGTTAATAAACTAATATTATAAATTGATATGTTAAAACTAACGTATTTTAATTGATAATTTCTAAAATTGAATGATTTTGTAGAATGAGATGCCTTTATAAATAGTGGTGTAAATCTTTTAACCCCCAAGCCGTTAGATTAATCAATTTTCAAAAGGTTTCAGAAAATTTAAGGAATTGTTTCATCAAGTTTGTTAAATGAATATAATCCAATCAAATTTATATTTATGCATTAAATTAAAGCAAAACTTAAGCAACTGGTCCTTCCTCAGTACTGTAAGAAATTTACATTGCCCCCGTGAGGGAAAATATCGCTAATCGAAGCCATGCACTCTGTATGTTGTCCACTATCAAGTTAAAACTATAGTCAGTCTATGGAAAGAACTCCTCTAGCCTTTTGTCCGTAGCAAAGGCATGACTATGGTTAGGAGGTTTATCGATTTCAAGTAGGGGTAACAGGTCAATACTGCCCCCCTCTTTGAAATGCTCTACCTATTGTTTCCATAGCAGCAGACGGCTTTAGACTTTAAGGTGAGGGGAGTTCTTTCTTTAGATAAAATATATGATTATTAAAAATAATTCAACTGAAAATTGGCTCCATGATTTCAAATAAATCAAGCTGAATAATAGTTTTCAAATATATTAATTTGCGTTTAAATGTTCTGTTACAGATAAGCATTTTAACAGAGCATTTCCAATAAGCTTTAAATTGAGCTTACTTTTATTTTTGCTTTAGATATACTTTTTTGAATTCTAATGAAAATCTACGTAATATGTTGTCAAGGTTGTTCACAGTAACCATGCCCTGTATGGTGTTGACAAAAACAACAATTTTTCTAAAAAAATTATTATGGAAAGACTTAACAACTTTGTAACTTCGCAAAAACTAAGCAAGAAAACCAAAATGTAGTTAAACGTCTACATTACAGTTAAAAAATACTTCATGAACTAAAAATTATATTAAATATGCTTTTTTTGTTGACAAATTTGTTACAAAAATCTATAGCGTCATCCATCTCTCCTAGTTGAAAAAAAAGCAAACAAACTTAAGAATACAGAATATGCGATGCCAAAGCAGTAATAAATGAGAAGCAATTTTACTTGTTAACAATATATAGCGATAAATTTAATCGTATAACAGTTTACATTAGAAATAATTTTTTATCTCTCTTCATATTTTTTTCATATTTTTTAATTCTCTTTTACATTTTTTAAAATTTTTGATTTAAATGTTAAGTTTTATATTTGGCATCATCTAACCTGTCTCTTATTTCTTATTTGTTAATTTTTTGTTACTTTAGACATTACGTCAAACACGAGTTTATAAAATGAATATTGCGAGAGAGATTAGTTTTTCTGCAACAAAAGGATAAATTATTATTATTTATGGAAAAAAATGAGGAGTATATTTTTAAGGAACAAATAAGAATTTAGATAAAAACTCTAGTTTAAGTTATAATTCAAAATGATTCCATCTGCACGCCAAGTTTCAGCTCTGTAGTTGCATTTCAGCGGATATTAGATCGACAAACATTGATTTTTTTTACTACAAGTTTAACAATAATAATATTTGAACTTAATCGTGCATTTTTTATTCCATCAAACTTCTTGTACTTTTTTAACACAACATCGTAATTTCACTCTTCAAAATCTAATATATTTTGAGCAGCAAAGTAAAGTGTAACGTAAAGAAAAAATAATTGAAAAAAAATTCAGAAAAAACTACTCAGAATCGCAATAACTTTCGAACAAACTCGAATTTCGAAAGAAAAAAAAATCTGTTTTAAGTTAAACAAAGATGGACCTTTTACTATGTTAAATTTTAACCTTGTAGTTGAAATCCTGTGATCTGTAGAACGCTCTTCATGATAATTATTCCAAGAAGTACAATCAAACTAACTATCGAATGTTCCTTTTTTTAAAATTCCTGTACATTTTTCGATACACCGTAGTAATTTCAAGTTCCTAAGTTTTGTATTTTTTGAGTAGTAAAATAAAATACAACGTTAAAGAGAAACGTATAACAGAGACGGAGATGGTCCTTATGGTTTTGTAATATAGAGAGATATTTGAAAATAAATGTAGTATGTTTTAAAAAATAAGTGATTTCACAATCGTAATTTAATATTTTCGCTTACCAAACAGGCCGATGAATTAATTTTAACTTAGCATGCACCATATCGTGCATGAAAGGTAACAGTAATGATAATGATAATGTGATAATATCGAGTCACGTTGTAGCTTAGGGGATAGAACACTCGCCTATCAATGAGGCGACTCGGGTTCGAATCCCAGCGATGACTGGTTGATACGAATTTTTCACCTGGCTCGCACTGACCACAGTGCTGACGTAAAATATCCTCATTGAAAGTCGTCGTTGAACGGTCGACTGAAAAATTGGGTCGGCTGTTCAACGATGGTTATGAAAATAAAAAAATAAAATCATGTTATCTTAAACCGTGTGATTATTAGTTGTACCTTTAAAAAGTGTTGCTATAAAACAAAATAATTTAATATTAGCAGTAAGTGAAATAAAAAAACGTTTTGTTCTGAAAAGCGAATTTAATGGATAAATGGAACTAATTCGTTGAAGGTAAACATTAAATACGCAAATATTATTAATAACACCAACGAAAATTAATTTTGGTAATAGTAACCAAGTGACATATAATATTAAAAGGCAAAATTAATGGAGAATTGGTATTAATTTGTTCATGAGAGCGTTAAAAATTGGCAAACTATTATTGACGTAAATCATGCTTAAATAATTTTATTAGGTATTACTTGAAATAAAAATAATCTATGAACTAAAAAGAAAAAATAATGGGGAAAAATGTATTTATTCTTTATGAGAAACAATGTATTTGTTCCTTGAAAATGTATTCATTCTTTATGAGAAGCAATGTATTTGTTCTTTGAAAATGTATTAATTCTTTATGAGAAGCAATGTATTTGTTCTTTGAAAATGTATTCATTCTTTATGAGAAGCAATAAAAGGTCACTATACTGTTACTGGCATCAATGATGCTTAATTTTAGTAATAGGCAAGGGCATCATTGTAATTGTCAAAATAATACATGGTAGTTGGAATTGGTACCAAGTATTATTACATAGCTACAGAGTATCTGAAAAAATTTGACGCCAATTGCAACTGAACTAATAATGTATTTTTTATGACAATAAAAAGTCACTATACTGTTACTGGCAGCAATGATGCTTAAGCTTCTTTTATACGATATATGTACAGTATTTGCGCAAATGAGGCATTTAACTTTTCAAATGGCTTTAATGTTTGGATGAATTATCGAATTATTGTACGGCAATACATTGTTATAATTAGACTATTGGTAAGGAAAATGAAGTCAAAAAGAGGTATACTTTGTTATTGCTTTTTAGCAATTCATTCGCCGTGGGTGTGGTTTTTGTCAAGTACATCACTAAACGGTGCAGTATAATTCAGGCACCTCATTAGATGATATTAACACAAATACATATATTATGAAAAATTGAATAAATATAGTTAAATAAAGACCAAATGTAATTTATCACATGATATTTATCATCTATCATTTACAGAATTTGATACAAATATTGTATGTCAAATGTTGTTAGGATTATATTTCATAACTGGCATTGAAGACCCGAGCCAATTCTGAGTTTTCGACTATCAATGTCTCTAACCTTCGAATTTTATACCCAACCCAGAAGACCCCTATATCAAGCATTGGCAGAAACTAGCCTTCATGAAGGACTTTTTGTTTTAACTAATCCGCATTTACGTTACACGGAGAGAAAAAAACCACAAAAAATATCTTGATTAGCCAGAGGGTAAAGGAATTCTAACCTATGACCCGTCTAGCATAGAATTGGAAGTGCAGCATTGTGCATAATGTCCACATACATCTCAGAGTTCATGCTATGCGACTTCTCCTGCCCGAAGTCTGTTCGCGCAGGAGAAGTCGGTTCGTAGTCAATTCGTAATTTGTAGTAGAAGTTAGTTCGAAGTCAGTTCGTAGTAGTTACCCGAACTGGATTCAAGCGACACTGGCAAGGGGTCAACTCAAAATAACGCTCTTTTCGCTTTTTTCGTACGCTTTTCTTCACGCTTTTTTCGATTTTGTGGTTGTTTATATAATTTTTATGGGAATTGGAACAAAAATTATTAAATAAAAAAGAACTAAATAGCTGTTAGCATATTTGTCGTTAGTCAATTAACATTTCATACTCCTTGAAAATCTATTTGGCTTTTCACAATTCATTAAGCTACTTTGAAGAGCCTTTAGCATTTAGAAATTGCCTGAGATTTTTTAAGGGGAGGCGATAGAGCAAATATCATTAATGCTAAAACTGACTTTTTTCGATGCACCTTTTTAAGAAACTACTTGTGACATCACTTTGAAATAATTTGAGGATATTTGAGATTACACACTATGTGGCAAAAAGTATCGGTTGTTATGGTGGAAACATAATGGTGCGGAGGTGTTTTTCGCGGTTTGGC